TGTAGGGTTATTGATAATCTAGAAAGTTATTTTCAAATTAATAATAGTCTTCAGAAGTCCAGTTTCCTCATAGAACCCTTTACTTGGAGTGAGTTTTGTACAAGTTTACAATCCAGACGAAACACAACCCCTGGTTTAGATAATTGTCCATACATTTTGATCAAAAACCTAAATCAGTCCGTACAAAAGAAACTATTAGCTAATCTTAATGCTCTTTGGCACTTAAAAAAAATTCCTGAATCTTGGAAAACACAGTGTGTAATCCCTCTACTTAAGCTTGACAAGCCACCTGAAGATCCTAATTCATATTGTCCTATATCTTTGTCATCTTGTGTTGGAAAGCTTAATGAAAACATGTTAAAGATGCGTCTTGAGTGTTATGTAGAGGCGAACAACATCATTCCACATGTTCAATATGGCTTCCGGAGAGGCAGAAGTTGTGCTGACAGCTTCATCTCTCTCTTGTCAGATCTGAAATATGCCAATAATAATAATAAGTCCAGTGTTTGTGTTTTTCTGGATATTGAAGGTGCGTTTGATAATGTAGATCCTGGCATTTTGGTTCAAGTTCTTTCTGACATTGGTATACCAGGCATACTTTGCCAATGGTTATTTAATTTTTTAATAGATAGAACTTTGTATACAAGGCATAATAATATTCTCCATGGTCCCAGAAGGGTCTCCAAAGGTACAATGCAGGGGGCTACATTATCTCCATTGTTGTACAACATATACACTAGTCAAATTCTTAATTTTGTAAATATAGAAGGTGCAAATATTTTACAATTTGCGGATGATCTTGTAATATATTGTACAGACCATAATGTAGATAGAGCTGTAAATAGTATAAATAATGCTTTAGAGCAATTGTACATATATTATAATGACAAGTTGGCTCTACAGATTAACCCTAACAAAAGCAAGGCCATGATTTTTAGTAAAGATTTTCCCTCTAATGGCATACTCTACAATAATCATCCAATTTCAGTTGTATCTAACCATAAATTCCTGGGTGTTGTCATTGATAACAAACTTTGTTTTAATTTACACATCAATCACATTATAACTAACTCTCTTAAGGGCTTAAATATTATAAGATGTTTAGCTGGTGTGACTTGGGGTGCAGACCCCAAAGTTTTAAGTATGCTATATAAATCTATAGTCAGAAGCCATTTCGACTACAGTTGTTTAGCCTACTCAAATAGTAGTTGTGTAAAAAAACTAGACATAATTCAAAACAAAGCTCTGTGAATTATTTCTGGGGCTATGTGTTCAACTCCCATACGAGCTATGGAAGTTGAAACCAAAATAATGCCACTGTGTCTTAGAAGACTTCTGCTAATAGAGAGATATTTACTAAAGCTGGTATCTGGTAATGATAATGTTCTCAAAAAAATAGTACCTTTTCCTTTACAATGCTCGGTCCAGCAGACTTCGGGAGGTGAGCTTTTACAAGGTTATTTTCCAGTTTTGCCTCTCATTGTACAGCAAATGAATGAAGATTTTAAAAATGTAATTAAACAATCAAAGTGGACATGCTACACATACCCATATTCCTGTATTATATTTGAGACCAATATTGTTACCAAAAATTTTTTTAATAATTGTGAATTATTAAGTTTTATTTCCGACAATAACTACTATACTTTGTATACAGATGGTAGCAAAAGTGAGCTCTTTGTGCGCAGTGCCGTTTATGATCCACAATGCAAGTTTGGTCAAAGTTTTCTTCTGGACCCTAAATGCAGTGTTTTCACTGCAGAGGTATATGCGGCCCTCGAGGCCCTGAAGAGGATTGCACATATAAATAGTTTTAATAATTTTTTAATTTTAACAGACAGTTTAAGTATGGTCCAAAGTTTAACTAATCTCAGATTTGACTTTAAAAAAAACTATATTTTGTATAATATTAAAAAATTGTTATTTAGTTATGCAAAAAAGGGTATACAGGTCTCTTTCATGTGGATTCCATCACATAGGGGCATAACAGGAAATGAGATAGTAGATAAAATTGCACGTGATGGAACCAACATGTTGGATGTTAGCTCCATAGTAAAAGTACCTTTGACCGACTGTTATCAATCTATTGACAACCAGGTCAATAGCTTATGGGTCGAATTTTGGAAACAAGATCAAGAACAGAAGGGTAAATGGTATGGAACTGTTCAAGAAAAACTACCTGTAGCACCATGGTATAACAAACTGAAAATGGCCAGTCGGGACTTTGTTACCACTATAAATAGACTGCGCTTTGGTCACTCCACCGTCCCGGCCCACCTGGCTCGATTGGGCATAGTGGAGAGCACAGAGCAGTTACTGCACCTTCTGCAATAATTCTGTTGGTGATATCGAACATTTCATATTTACATGTGAGTGCTTTTCATTTGACAGATTGATTCTTGTCAGTGAAATTAGTGACATAGTGCAAAATAAAGTGACAGTGCAAGATCCCTCCCGCCGCCTGAGTGATATGTTAAAAAATAGATCCTATTACGTGCCTCTCATAGATTACCTCCTAATAGATTCCGCATACAGGGCCACAAACGCGCGCAACACATACTTGCTGTAGCTAGCATACGAAGCGAAGCTAAGAATCACGACATCAGTTTCGACCAAGTTTGTGATCCGTAGGCACGTCCGAGTTCTTGACAATTTAAAAATAGTTTTGTATCCAAAATACATTACAAATAGCTTCCTGTGCAGTAAAATGGTGTGACGAGTCAGCTAAGACATCCAGTTATCAAAAAGATGGCATAAATTTTAATTGGTAAGTAAATTCTATTCTTATCACGTTAACCTATTTCAAATGCACCGGAGATCAACTTATACTGGCATATTAATGGTGCAAAGTGATAACAATTAAGCACCCGTTGATGTCTTTTTGAAATGTCCCTTTCACTCGTTACGTAAATTACAATAGTTGTCTTTGTCTAACAACAGCACGTGTATCGATAGTGTTGTGATTGTTATGTCGATATTTGTTTGGTCATCGTTTAATTATTTTTTTCGAAGTCATATTATTTTATAAAAATAGTGACGTATCATTGTGGTACCTATATGTTATAGGTTTCCTAAATGCCCCTAAAGAAAAAAAGATGTGGATCGACGCAAATTGTCGAGGGGACGAATGGTTTCCCACCAAAAATAGTGTACTGTGCTCAAAACACTTCACAGAAGACAATCTTCATAATATTATGAAAAATCGTATAAAGCTGTTGGATTCTTGCCAGTTTTGGTATGGACTTTTGCATTTTTTTTAAAGATTAGTACTAACGTAGATTACACAATAATATCATTAAGTGGTTGAGTGAAACATGATATTCTTATATTTAGGTAAATGTTACACGTCGAAATTAAGCTATTTTGAACGGATTTATAAATCATAAAACTTGTAAAAGTTATAATGTGATTATTGTTTTGACTTGGTATTTAGTGTTACATGAACTTCAGTATTATCTTATTATAATTATTAAGTACATCTAAATTTGGAAGACGTGCCTTATGGTGTATTCATTAATAATAATATATCGGTAATGTTTTAAAAGAAACGAATATGTATTTCTGATTTAGATTACTGGTTTACCGCTGAAAGACGCGAAAAACCCGCCAACACCTAAAAGTCAGAGTCATTGCTTAGAAACGCCTACAAAACAAAAAAGAAAATTTTCTCCTATACCTGATACGCCATCTGCATTTGATACTCCAGTTAAAAACGTCTTTGTAGAAGAATCATCGAATTAACCAACGTAATGAACAAAAAAGATAAAAAAGTTAAAGTCATTATTGGTAGAATTAGAAAACAAAAATTCATTAGCAGCGGAAAACAATGACGCATTAAGTTCCTTAGAAAAATCAAAGTCTAGAAAATCAGGCAAAATTGTTAGAAAAAAATATTCACCACAATTAAGAGCTTTTGCACTCACCATAAATTACTCAGCTAGGCTTATAATTATGTACGCAAAACATTTAATACTTCCTTACCTTCTGTAAAAACACTAGGAAAGTTTGTAGTTTCAACACAATCAATTAAGCTTAACTATAAATAATAATTATAATAAAATATAATATAATATATATATATATATATATATATATATATATATATAATAAAAATAATAAATATAAATAAATAAGCAGTTTTGTTAATGATGATATTTTTCATGAAATAAAAAAATCACCAATTCGATCACGAAAGTTGTGTTCATGTCATTGATTTAGCTAAGAGTGTTATGGAAAAATACATAGACATACTCGTAAGATTACTCCACTCATCCAGGAAGACAGATCCTAAGAATTCTGTGAGACAATTTTATACTAAGATTATCCATTTTAAAAATCAGTCAAATGTATATTTATAAATGAAATGTACAAATATATGTATACAATGTTTAATTTTTTAATAAACATCAAATAAAAATTGATCAATATATTTATTTATCATTATCAATAATCGATAAATCCCAAATTTATCGATCAACGTCCCAACCCTGTTCCATCACTATGGTTTGGTACATTCTAAGTTTGACCTTTAAATATCCAATCACAGCGCATTTGCCACGTCCCCCGCAACCCTTGCATATGGCCAAATTTGGTGAACTCGAAACAGAACAAATATTCAATGATGCGGTATCTATTAGGAGGTAATCTATGGTGCCTCTACATAAATTCATCAAAAATACAGTGGGGAAATTATAATAAACCGAATAAAAATACTCAAGACTTGGCCTAAAGGTCTAGATGCCAGGCCATAAACTCCAAAAAAAAAATATTTATCTATGCAGAGTACCTTTGTATAAAGTATAAACCGAAAAAAACTAGTTACATTACTATACTCTTTGAAACTAGTTAGCACAGAGTACATTATATATAGGGAACTAGTTAGTTTGTGAAACAAGCTGTGAAAACTAGTTGCCAAATAAACAGTCAAAAAAAGTGTTTGTACACCATACACCTCAATTCTAATAGAGATATAATCACTTAACATATTTTTTATTTTGACCATGTTACGAAACTTCGCAAAAGTTGTACAAATCCAAAAAGCGAAATTTGCTGCCGCAGCGGCGCCGGCGCCACAACCTCAAACTAGCCCGGAAATTTTGTACACTGGCGTAAGTATTCCCAATTACACCTAAAAAAATTCATATACTTACAACACTTCGTTATATCCTCATATTTATCCATAACTTTTTTACGCATATATATAATGTTATCTATTGTGGTGAATATTTATATTATTTAACGATAACGATCATCCATTTATTACCGCCCATCTAAAATCCACTGATTAACAAAGGCCACCCCATGGAAAGGGATCCCCATTTTGCCTCGTTGGTCAAGTGGTCGTAAACGCAGCTGCTGGTCGGTCGGGTTTCGAATCCAAAAAATCAGTCATTGAGTTTTTGTGGTACACTTCCGGGCCTCGGAAAGCACGTAAAGCCGTAGGTCCTGCGCCTGATCTGTCTCCGGTCGTGTTGGATTGCCGTACCATGAGGGCGAGAGAATATAGAGTGCCTTTGCGCTTGAGCATACATTTGGGTTTTATAATCTCGTGGCTCATATTCATGAGACGGATAATCGAAATCCGGCCTGGAGGACTCTTAGCAGGCAGGTTGTCTACCACAATTTTATAGATTATAGATGTTATTTGGAAGATTCTGCTGTGCATCTCCTATTTAAGTTTCCCTCTGTCGCCTCTTACAAAACTCACAGGATGAAGTGGGGTAGTGGACTCCCGTGGGCAGAAACTACACAACAAATGATAATTATGTAAATTATAATTACCAAAATTTTCTACATCAAAATTTTATTTGTACCTATATGATTTTTATTTATATTTCATATACATTAAACTAATTTCATATGTGAACATCACATAATATTATGCACCAATGATTTGGCCTATCAATTTTTTTCCTGAAAAGAGCATTAGCAATTTTCTACTGTTAAATCTGTTCTACCTTTCTCCTGTAAATTTCATGACCAAATATGGATACATTTTGAATTTAATGATATTATCTGATTACTGCTTTTCTGAATATGATATGCCATGTTTGTTAAATAATGTTGTTAGTGTGTGGAGAACTGAGAGAGAAAGAGAAAATAATATTATTCCACACAAAAATAAATTATGCTGTCTGTCCCATTAAGAACTACTCTTTATGATGAATGCTTGGGGTGTTTTCTAATGCTGTAGGAATTATTACCAACTGATAATCACCCATACAGACATACCTCAAAACCTTAAAACGAAATTGTACAACCAGTGCGTGTTGCCAGTGATGACTTACGGAACTGAGACGTGGTCCTTCACTGCTGGCCGTATGAGGAAGCTCAAGGTCGCTCAGCGAGCTATGGAGAGGGCTATGCTCGGAGTTTCTCTGCGTGATAAACTTAGGAATGAGGATATCCGCAGTAGAACCAGAGTGACCGACATAGCCCAACGGATTAGTAAGCTGAAGTGGCAGTGGGCCGGCCATATAGCTCGAAGAACCGACAACCGATGGGGAAGAAAGGTTCTCGAGTGGCAGCCTCGTACCGGCAGGTGAAGTGTAGGGCGTCCCCCCACGAGATGGAGTGACGACCTGGTAAGACATGCAGGAAGTCGATGGATGCAGGTGGCTCAGGACCGTGTTTTGTGGCATTCTTTGGGGGAGGCCTATGTTCAGCAGTGGACTTGTGAAGGGCTGTAATGATGATAATCACCCTTATTGCAGCTCTTCATAAACAATGAATGGGTAAAGTCATCAGATGGAAAGACATTCCCAACTGAAAATCCAGCTACTGAAAAGATAATTGCTGAAGTACAACAGGCTAGCAAAGCAGATGTGGATAAGGCTGTTAAAGCTGCGAAAGATGCATTCAGGTATTAAAAATTCAATTCCAAATACATGATAATATTGTAAGAGTTATATGAAATTTAGCATCTTTAGATTTTCACTATAAGGTTCAAATGTGATTTTCTACTGACTTCAAAAAGGAGTTGGTACTCAATTCAACTGTATGTTTTTATTTTATGTGTGTTACCTCATAACTTTTGACTGGGTGAACCGATTTTGATGATTCTCTTTTTATTTGAAAGCTAGTGCTTTACATGTGGTTCCATATAAATTTGATCAAGGTCTGACTGATAGTTTTTGAGTTATTTTTACTAATTTATATTCAAGTTGGTTGTACAACATTTTTAATTTTAAATTATAACCTATGTGATCATAATTCTTTAATCTTAATTTTACTGACAACTATTTCATCTGAAAATACAGAGGTATATTTATTAACATGGGGAGCAGCGCCTTCCTGATAAATATACTATTTTAAAAAATGCAGTTACCAACATCCTGCTTGCCAAGTGTGACAAATATGGGAAACTATGGTTGAGCAGTAGGCTTTTTGATAGGATAAATGAATAAAAAAATGCTATAAAATGATGGTAGAAAAAAGTTAGGCTGTCAAAAGTTGTATTAAAATTTACAACTCACTAACACAATAACATTCAAAAACTATCTTAAGATAAGACTAGTATTTCGATTCTTATAGATTTGGATCCCCATGGAGGCGAATGGATGCTTCAGAGCGAGGCTACTTGCTCAACAAGTTGGCTGATCTTGTTGACAGGGATAAAGTTTATTTAGCTGTAAGTACATATTACATAACCATATTTATACATCCAAACAAGCATCATAATAATCCTTTGTTTATTTTAACTCAATTTTAATATACTCTTAAATTTTAACTAAAATTGAAATAACTGTCTAACATCAGCCTAATGGGTTTTTAGTAGGCTTCGTATCACTAATTCAAGACCATCAATTATGTTAATGTTTATAAAAGTTCCCACAGTTCTCCTTGTAGATCTTATCCAATAGTTTTCCAAAGTTGCAAAGATTAGTGGGTTTATTAGGGCAACCTGCCCTTGCTTCTCGCTGGAAGATCCCAGCGTTGTTGCCGATTCTGTTGCTGATGTGGTACTTCAGGGTATGGAACTTTTTATTCCATCCTCTGTGGTACCCATCGGAGGCAGATCCCAGCCATGGTTTGGTTGCTCCTGTAAAATAGCATCACACTATAAGCAGGAGTGCTACCGGGCCTGGGCTGACGCATCAACGTCTCGGGATGTAAACACCAGCGCACTTAAAAAGAAGTATAATTCCGCCTTCAGGTCCTTCAAAAGCGTCATTGCCAAGGCAAGGTCTGAGCACATCAGCAGATTTGGCGAGAAGCTAGTTCGCCTTCCTTTGGGAACCCGTGAATTCTGGTCTCTCACCAAGGCTGTCCAAGGGAACTTCTGTCAGCCATCTCTTCCATCTCTGCATAGAGAGGACGACTCACTGGCCCATGCCGCAAAGGAGAAAGCCGATCTGTTGAGCTCTCTTTTTGCGTCCAACTCGACTCTAGATGACGGGGAGAACACACCGCCGACCATCCCGCGATGTGAGTGCTCCATGCCGGATGTGCGGTTTACACAGCGCTCGGTTCGCAAAGCACTCTTCTCCCTGGACGTCAGCAAGTCGAGTGGGCCCGATGGAGTCCCTCCCATTGTGCTGGAGACGTGTGTTCCGGAGTTGGCTCCGGTTTTAACGCGTCTTTTCCGGTACTCCTACTCCCAAGGCGTAGTCCCGAATTCACGGAAGATAGCTTTGGTCCACCCGATCCCTAAACAAGGCGACCGCTCAGACCCGTCAAACTACAGGCCTATTGCCATCACCTCCTTGTTCTCCAAAATAATGGAATCCATTATAAACTGCCAGCTCATGAGGAACCTTGAGGATCACCAACTGATTAGTGACCGCCAGTACGGTTTTCGTCGAGGTCGATCAGCTGGTGATCTTCTAGTCTATCTGACTCATAGATGGGCGGAGGCAGTAGAGTCCAAGGGGGAGGCATTAGCCGTTAGTTTGGACATAGCGAAGGCCTTCGATCGGGTCTAGCACAAAGCGCTTCTTTCGAAGCTTCCTTCCTATGGGCTTCCCGAGAAATTGTGCAAATGGATCACCAGTTTCCTTGGTGATCGGAGCATCAAGGTAGTAGACGGTGCATGCTCTGATTTCAAGCCTATCAACGCTGGTGTTCCACAAGGCTGCGTGCTATAACCAACGCTGTTTCTCCTGCATATCAATGATATGTTGATGTATTGTATGTATGTTGCTAACTGTTAGCATTCATTGCTATGCAGACGACAGCACTGGTGATGCCTTATATACCGGCCGTGCCAATATTTCTCGGGAAAACGTCGCTGAGTACCGGGATAAACTTGTGTCTGAAGTCGAGTCTTTGCTTAACAAAGTCTCGGATTGGGGCCGACTAAATTTAGTCTAGTTCAATCCCCAGAAGACACAAGTTTGCGCGTTTACTGCTAAAAAGAACCCCTTTGTCGTATCTCCTCAGTTTCAAGGCACTCCCCTTGCTGCCTCAGCTAGTATCGGAATCCTTGGCGTCGACATATCGAATAGTGTGCAGTTTCGTGGTCACTTCGAAGGGAAGGCCAAATTGGCCTCTAAAAAGCTTGGCGTGCTCAGCAGAGCGAGACAGTATTTCATGCCGGCACATCGCTTGCAACTTTACAAAGCGCAAGTTCGGCCCCACATGGAATACTGTTCTCATCTCTGGGCCGGGGCACCCCAGTGCCAGCTCCTTCCACTTGACCGCATCCAGCGCAGAGCGGTTCGAATCGTCGACGACCGAGTTCTTTCTGATCGGCTCGATAGCTCGATACACTGGCACTGCGTAGAGATGTTGCATCTCTTTGCGTATTTTATCGCATCTATCACGGGGAGTGCTCTGAGGAATTGTTCGGACTAATTCCAGCCGCTCAATTTCACCATCGCACATCGCGACAAAACTTGCGTTACCATCCATACCATCTGGATGATTGGCGGTCCACCACTGTGCGATTTAGAAGGTTTTCTCCCTCGCACAACTTCCTTGTGGAATCAATTACCACCAGCGAATTTTCCGGACTGATACGACTTAGGAACCTTCTAGAAAAGAGCTTACACCTTTCTAAAAGGCCGGCAACGCATCTGCAATTCCCTGGTGTTGCGGTTGTTCATGGGCGGCGGTAGTCACTTACCATCAGGTGAGCCGCATGCTCGTTTGCCCCCTCTTCTATAAAAAAAAATAGTTTATATTTTAAGTTTATTTTTCAAGTCTTGGGTTTGAACTTGCAAAAAACCTGTTCCTGAAAGAAGTTCCTCAGTAATACCATAAAAATGTTTGCCAGCAAAATGTCAAATTTCACAAAGGCTGTGGCACGGTAGCTAAGGGACTTCTTTAAATAAAAGGACTATTCTTAGACCATAACTTAAACCCCAGACTATCAAAACTTGTTTGTAATAAGACAATTTATCAAGTATGTTTAATAATGATACCATGCTTTCAGTTTTTCTGCTAACCTGCCAGTTAGTTATCTGTCTGGCTATGTCATTATATAATAGTCAAGTATATCTTATCTTATTGTCTATCTTGCTTTACAAAGGTTAATTTACACCCTGAATTATATCATTGCAAAGCCCTAAAACAGTTCAGAACAGAACATTGCAAAGCACTAGAACAGTTGTACGTGGTAGAGCCATGCTGCAGCTATATTAGTAGTATAGTTGCAGGGTTGGCTGATTTAAATCATGATTTAAATCACGATTTAAATCGCCTGTTTGATTAAAAAAATCATTGATTTAAATCAACATGTATAAATTAATGTAATAGGCAGAAAATGAAATAAAACTGGCTTAAAATAAGGTAAAATCTTTTGTTGTTTTATGTTATTCTTATTATTCTACTACAATAGTCTCATAAACTTTGGAAAATCAACAAAGACGTAGCGATGAGATCTGTCAGTTTTAAAATCAAATTTTTTATTTTTTAGAAATTCACTCTTAATATGTATATGAACTGTAATTAATACAGTATGTATTAATTATTTTACTCTTAATCAGTTTCATACATATCTATACAAATCAATAAAATTGAAGTGTCTGTTTGTAATGTCAAAATTACGGCTTTTTACTAAATGCATATGAAAGTATATACGATACGTATAACAAAAATACATTTTTTTAAATTTTTGTCTGTCTGTCTGTCTGTTTGTTCCGGCTAATCTTTGAAAGGGCTGGACCGATTTTGACGGGACTTTCACTGGCAGATAGCTGATGTCATAAGGAGTAACCTAGGCTACTTTTATTTTAGAAAAATAATTAGGGTTCCGCGCAAAAAAACTAAAACCCCAAATAACACGCAGGCGAAGTCGCGAGGAACAGCTAGTGTATTCATAAACTTTTAATCTTACTATGTTAAAAAGTGTTACCAACTCGTGTATTTCCAAATATACAAAAATATCAAAAAATTCAAAAAAAATCAAAAAAATTATGATTTTTTTTTAAAAAATCAGCATGATTTGATTAAAATTAAAAAAATCATGATTTTTTCCATCCCTGTATAGTTGTAGCACGAATGGGTTGGCTCGACCGGGGAAGGACCACGCTCTCACAGAATACCAGCGTAAAATGGCAGCTTGATACTGCTGTGTTTCGTATGGTGAGTGTAGAGAACCGGAGACCCATTTTACTGAAAAAGAGGCATTCCATCTTAGTCCTCACAGGTGACAATGCATCTGCATTTTGATTCGCAAGCGAGGATAAATGTAGATGTCTATGGGCCACAGCAACCACTTACCATCAGGTGGACTGTGTGCTCGTTTGTCAACCTATCCTATAAATAAAAAGTTCAGCCAATTTTACCAACAGCTACTAATCCCAGAACTTCACCATTAGCCTCACAGCCTCTTGTATTAGGGTGATATTGATATTTTCTCTGCAAATCAGCACTACACTAAAGCATGTGCAGCTGCTTCATGGTGGAAATTTACTTGCAGGACTTGTTCTACTTTCCGCGTTAACCATCATGGGAGTGGGTGGGCAGGTATCTTACACACTAACTCTTTAGGTTGCTTCAGGTATCGTTAGGCTAGAGACATCCTCTGCTGTTGATTTTGACGCTTGCTGCAGGTTTACCCTTGCCGCCCTTATTGCACGCTTTCTCTTGAACTTGGTCGACAACTGGGGAGGTTGTTTTCCCACTCATGGTCCCAGACACTCGCTACGCTATCCCAGGTTTCCTCGAAATTTAGGGTTGGGTTTGGGATGATTTTTGCTGTATTAAAGTATCACGATCCCACACTGATTGGGATGATTATATCCTTAAAAGCAAAAATTAAGTACGCATGTTCCTCGTGCAAAAAGTGGATAATTTTCCATAGCTCTGTGTTAAGCGCTTCTTTCTGCACTTGGCAGCAGCAGCTCAACAGCTCAACAGCCTCTTTAGGTGAGACCTTCGCTGCTATTCGTAGGTAATCCTAACTTGTTGCTTACGCAGTTCACCCTCTGGTAAATGAAGCTGTGCCTCGGCTACGAATCTCTTCTTAGTCCTCAAGGGTGACAGCACATCTGGATTTTGATACATAGTCAAGGATTGATGTAGGTGTATATGGGACACAGTATCCACTTACTATCAAGCGATGGACTGTGTGCCTGTTTCTTACTTCTAAAAAAACTGACTGCTTGACACAGCATTGGTGTCACTGGTTAAGGGTGTAGAGAGGCGAGTCTCAGTAATAGTATAGAAGACAAATTTTAAAACGTT